AATTCTTATCAGAGAATCATCGAGTAGTATTCGTATTTATCGAAAAGAATTTCTTTGAATTTTCTCCAACGATTCTAAACCACATCCACGTAACAATATTTTCAATCATCCAGATGATGATGGATCGTAATACAGTTAAACCGTAGTTTATCATCTTTATCGAGTCGCTAAGACAAAACTGGATGACAGTCGGCTGATGTAAGATGTCGGGTGTTGTAAGTTGGAGATGCTAAACAAGCGACAAATATTTGACCGTTTCCATAAACGAGAAGTTTATATAGATATTTCGTGGATTGGATGTTTTCGAGGAAAAAATTCTCGAATGAGTGACCCGTTAAAAATTTCGAATTTTTCTCGAATATTTATACGTTTTATACGATCGTTTAATCTCGAAAAAAACTCGATCAAACTGTGTAGAAAAAGAGCATCACGTTTCTGTTACGTGAAAATTACTTACATCACGTGACGAGACGAATATTTCGAAGAATATATTATCTCTCGATAAAAAATATCGTGCCTTTCAATATCGCGAAAATATTTACAATTTACAATTTTCTCGAACAAATTGTCAAATTTTTTTTCATTCTACGAATGATAATTGTAACTGGAATAAAAAGAAATAAAAATATATTTTATGGAATTATAAAGAGGCGATTGAAAAGAGGGAGAGATACGTCAGAATTTGGGCAAGGAACTGGGCAAGGAGAAATCTGTCGACGCAATAAAACTTTCGATATCTCCTAAGGGGTTTGAGGTCCGCGTAACATTTCGACGGCCCTCGTGTGCACACCGGCTCATGAATATTTAATCGTTGGTGGCAGGCGAATCGAATGTTAACAGGGTGCGAAAACCGGCATGAAACTTCTGTCAACTCTGCTCCTCGCCACTGAATGCATCCGAAATAATGCGCTTTATATCTCGTTGATTACGAACGAGATAATAAAATCGAATTGTCCCCCGGGAAGAACTTTCCATCTCGAGCCACGCTGATAACCGCATCGCGTTATCAATATTACGTAAAAGATAATCCTAATATATATCTAGATAATAAAGAAAATCAAATGCGATTTTGTTTTTATTATCGAACGTTGCCAGTGGCGCTGTTTCACGTTTGAGTTAGTTAACCTTCTTTAGTTTCCTTTCATACGCTTTGAAAAAAATATATCGTAACAAATATATCGTTCAGTTCGAATCAATTTCCTGCACTGTACTGTCAACATAAAAATATAAATTAGGATATTTAGATAGTTGAATCAAATTCTTACGCTTGAGAGACAGATTCTCTCGATTTAATATTTAGTATATAATAACACTCTCGTTTTCAACCGTTTCTTCTTTCCAGTCGGTACAATAGAGCACGAAGTTATAGACAGAGTTGGGCATTAAGAAAGAAGTAATTAGTTAAAACTCTCGAATAAAGTTACTTGAAGTAATTGTTTCATTTAAACAGCTTAAATAACACATATATATATATATATATGTAATCTCGTACAATTATTTGCCATTACAATTGTTATTATAAATTATTATTACGTATTACGAATAAAATATCAAGATATAACTTTATTCGTGGTTTCGATTTATTAAATTTTTACTGGTTGTACAAAGAATATATATATATAAGAAATCGATTTTAAAGAGCAAAATGTCGATAAAGGCTTATTTATTTATTAAGTTACGAGACTTCGATATTATATCTTGATAAATAAGCTTCATTTTTCGATAAAGCCTTACTTGTATTAAAAAAAAATACTAGCCTCGCTCGTTTCCATTGCAACGAGACGAGGGTGGGGGAGGAAAGCAATTTCGAGAAGATTAACAATCTCGAAGCACGTTGATCGCGATATCGGTCGCGATAATTGGGCCGATTCGTTCGATATTTGTCCGTTTAATGCAGCAATGGCGTTTCAATCGCGACAGACGGATCACACGTACGAAAGGACAAGTAGTCATCATTTTCCAGTTGCTAATGGAAATTGATTTCGTCCGTCGTGCGTGGTCGTTTCTTGCAGAACGGATAGAGAAAGAATCGTCGGTCACGCTGTGCTCTCACTCACAGAGAATAATATTTTTAAAATTAATTTATAAAAAAACTGATAATAAATTATTCTTAAAATTATTGTAATTGATTATTCTTACACCCGTTGAATCTTTTTTTTAATAATAAATTGAATTTATTATCGAATAATTTCTTCATAATTATACAAAAATAATTTATTCTTCACTCAATAATTAAATCTTTCGAATAAAAAGTTTTTATTAACCGTTAGGACTGCTAGGAATATAACTCGCATTATACAACTTCTAAAATAATTTAAAATATTTTCAAATATTTTGCATTATACATATATATTTTATTTTATTGATACCCTCTTTTTAAATCCTTTTTGTAAATGAATTAAAGAATTGTTGCTAGGTAAAAAAAAAATTAAAGAGTGTAAAGGGTTAAGAGTTGCTCTCCGTTTTCCATAAATAAACAAATAAATTGGATCAGATTATCCAAGATCAATGGCCGATTTGATCACGAGAATCGAAAAAATATTATTATCTCTGAAAAATGAAGAAAGATATTATCCCTTCCAAAAACATACGCGAATTATCCACCTGCGCAGGTGGATATTCCTACGATCGAAGCGAGAGAATGAAAAATGCCTTGTATCTACCCAGAATGCATCTCGAGAACGAGATGAAACAAAGACGAAACGCTTCCAAAAAATCCGCGCAACGAAACACGATGGAAGAACGAAGAAGATTCGGAGCGAACGAACTCGCAATAAAATTTCAAACAAGATCATCACAAGTGTAATATAATTGGTTCATCGATAAAGCGGAAGTAATTTCGACCCTCGATCTTCAAGTTTCAAGTTTCTCTTTGACTCGTCTCTTGACCAGATTGGCCCGAATTGAACGCGTAAGAGGAAAGTTTCCGTGGAAGGGGAAACCCCCTTGGCAAAGGGAGGTAAGATCATTTAATCGATACATCCTTCGAAACTTTCAAATGTTCCTTCGAAAATTCTCTCCATTTTCCTTTCTTATTCTCTATTTTCTCACAAAAATCGTGAGATATCTATTAATTAAAATTTATATACGTAGATCGAAGGATTTATTTGGAATTTATTGAATGATTCTGAAAAAGTATACAAGATTTAAAAGATTTCGAGCTAACTAAAAATAAATTGCTGTTGCAAATAAAGTCTATTGATTCGTTGGAAGAGCGTCGAATTTCGACATCGACATCGAACCACGAATAGATCCGGATCCAATTTCTCAACCGGTCGAATAACCGGGCCGACTTGAAATTAATTAAGGAACAACGGAAAATTAATTTCGCTCGTGGGTAACGTAAATGGCGATCTCAATCTGCTCATACACATACACACACACATACACACGCGCGCGTTCCTGCATTCGATGTAATATAATTATTTAGATATTCGAGAAATTTCTCCGCGCAACACTCGTTTCGCTACTTTTATACTTTTGCCAGTTCGTTCAATCGGAATTTTAGAAATTTCTAGATCGTTCTTTTCTACCACGGGAGTCAAACGCTCGCCTGAAAATGGTGGGGAGAGGTGGAAGAACGAGGAAAAGGAGGAGGAGAAGCATCGAAGGATTTCTGGAATGTTTTAAATAAGTGATGTCCTCGGGTTACATTCCTCGGTACAAGGAAAGAAACTTATCTCTCGGTATGCGCAGTACACTTTGCGCAGTTGCGAAGCAATAACAGTTAATAGCAGCGAGTCGAAAAAGTCGAGTTTTTTTAAGTAGAAGTAACGATGAAAATATTTTGTGTAAATAAATGTGAAAAATTAAAATTCTCGGCTCGTTGTTTCGAACGAAATGTGGCTAACAACGAGATCTATTCTTAATTGGTGTTCCACTTGGACCGAGAGATTCAAACGTAAATTTCGAGATACCGTGTAAAAACGCTGAATCGAATATTTTTTTTAAAAATTCGGCTCCATTCCAGCGCAAAAAGAGAATTTATTTCCAAATTTATTATTCTTTAATTTATCTTCGAAATCTTGATTACTCGAATTTCAAGGGAAAAGATATAATAATATCTTTGAGAAGGTTTCATCTTGTTCACGATTATAAGAGGATAATAATGGAAAGTGTTTTCGATCGAGCGTGGCGAAGCAAGGTGATACGAAAACAAAATCGACCTTCAACTTCTTCTCGAAATTTAAAAGTTAAAGTTTATTTTTAAAGAACGATACGTCCCGGGTTGGGCTAATTTCTTAGCCAGTAATGGTCGTTCACATTGTAACCCTGTCACGCGGTCGTGTTACTCTGCTATTAGTCCGAAGTTCACATTAATTATCTCCGGGTGAAACACAGTACGCCCCTGCAACCGGTCTGACCTCGACCAGCGCCACCAGTTTCTGTGAAATACATCCAGGTATTTAGGCAATTCGAATAATTAACCGCACGACTAACAATGCGCGTGTCCGATTCATCTGACTGGTTCATGGTTTAACCTGAATTTTCGATCAGTTACAAACATTGTCATTGCAAATCGTTTCGATCGATGTTTTTACCAACCAATTATTTACGTATATATGAATTTAACCACATAATAATTAATTTAACGCAAATTTCAACATGCATCGAAATTATCGTGCAATATATTGTATCGTGTGAAATAAGATTATTTTGTTGGTAAAGAAAATTTACTTGACCGACGTTCGAAATTATGCTTCGTTCGATTCATTCAGTTTCGATCGTTACTTTCGCTTTCCAACGCGTCATTTATGAGCTACACCATGCATTTGTACACCTCGCCTCTTTATCGATCGAATGACGATCGCGAATAATTAACCATCGCCCGGATCAGAACTCGAATAAAATAACAGGAGAGTGTCCAGTCGATAAGGAAGAACGAGAGACGGAAGATCGCGATCTTCGAATAGGATTTATCCGTAGGGGCCGATTTATTTCGGCCATTTGAACGAATGGATTGTTCCCGGATATTTTCTTTTTTTTCCCCCTCCCCCTCCCCCTCTTCGAGAAATATGAAATTCCAATTGCCGTTAACGTTGCGCCCAGATAATTTATGCTCGGTAATTAAGTTAATCGGGATTTGTAGAACCAGTACAGGCGAATTACCACGTTTTGAGGTCCGATAAATTTGACTATTATGCCCCGCCATTTCCATAATCTCCTTTATTATCGGGTTGAAATCGAAGTTGTCGTTGAACGGCACTTTTCACCCGATATCTACCTCGCCGATATTTATATACGTGTTACGGTTTAAATCGTGTAATCCAACGTACGGCCTGCGGTTATTTAACGCGCGCAAAATCGAATTCAATTGTAATCTAATGTAAATTTTAACTGGAGACCGTTCTAATTGCCATCGATCCAACCTGCGCGGGAATTAATCAAGCTACGACTTCTATTCGTTTCTCTCAATAGAACGACGCGAACGGTGAGTGAATAAGAAACGAAATAAAAACGCGGTTATCGTGTTTTTATAAAGGAAAGGTTAGGTTCAGTGGACTATATATATATATTTTTATCTTTATTACTTTTACGTATCTTTGTAGTTAGTTATATTTATTTATAATTAGTTGCACGTGTGTTGAATAGAATCATCTATTTAAACGGAAAAAATTTTTCAAATATATATTTTTCTATATTCGTATATATTTCTATATTCGCTCTGACAAAGAAAATAATACCGAATAATAATAATAATAAACGTACAAATGGGCGGCAAAGCAACGTGGAAAATTAAATTCGCACGCCACAAAACTTCGAGAGCTTTGCCTCTTTCGGATCCTGTGAAATTCCTCGTGATTTCCGTGCAATTTCCACCAAAATTCGAGCTTATCAACGTTGAATCGGCCATTCGTGGTGGCCGCGTTAAATTATACGAAAAACGTAATAGATCGTTATCGACGTGAAACTGTGCAAATAGAGGTTTGCGTACACGAAAATCCTTGAATTCTTTTTCCACGCCCATTCGTGAACTTATGAATTTTCAAAAAAAAAAAATCCATTAATCCTATCGGGATTTGCACAACGTTCACGATAATATACGTATAATTAGTATTAATTTTTTTTAAACGTATTGCGCTACTCGTACGTGCCATAGGACGCGATTCAACACGAATCGTTCTTTCTTTCCTCTCTTTCTCCCTTGTTCTCTGTCCGCTTTCGCGGTATGCTCGCGATTCGTTTCAAATATTTCAAATATTTTAATTACCTCGCGTAATATAATTGACGCAATATATACATACGAGGAACGATTTAATATAGTAATCGCAATGAAGTTGGATGGAAAAGAATTTCGATTTATATATATATATATATATATATATATATATATATATACTTTTTATATACTTTCTTTCAGACATTTGCATTATCGATATCTTGAAAGATCAAACGTTTTTAGAAAACGAATACGTGAACGTATTGAAATAAAAAATCTATCGATGTTTTATTATTATTATTATTACATACTTATAGTAATAATTGTAGTAATTGAATGATAGATAATAATAATAAGCTATACTATATATATAATTTATGTATTAATTATACTACAATTTAGAAGGATATATTTGAAAATTATTAAATTTGCTTTTATTAATTCGACCGTTCATTATCGCTTGTGTTACAGAAACAAGCACACCAGTTATCGAAGTGTTAATAATCGTATCGTTGACCTTTAAAGACTTTGTCCGATTTTCGTCGATCCGATTGAAGATAAGTATCGATCGATATTTATAACTCTATTAATTTAATCTTTTTTCCCGTTACGTGGCATTTTTCATCCCCGCTCCATTACATCGGTCGACATTCATTCGAACGACAAAAACCATATAGATAATATACCTTAAAAATATAACGACGTAACGACACGTAATGCTCATCGATTTTTTCTTTTTAATAACATAATAACAAATACGGAATATTGGAGATTTATTTTGATCGTTATATCATTATTGGATCGCAACAACTTTCCAACAAAGTTTCCATCGTAGTGCAGTTTAAGTAAAGCAGGAAAGAAAAAAAGAAAAAAAAAAAAAGAGAAAAAAGTTGATCGACTTGACACGACGAAGGGGAAAAGGGATCAAAGCGTGGAATTTATTCAAGGACGTATATATCGGCTCGCTTGGCTCACAGCTGATCCTAGCTACTAACCGTTCACTTTTAAACCGCCTTCGTGCTTCACAGAGGGATCCTCTTCTAATTTCAGTCGCGTCAAAACTGGCAGGCCTAGATAATTTTTCAACGAGATCCACCTTCGTCTCTCCGTTTTCAACGAAGAAGTTTTCCAACGAAACACAACACGAGAAGAGAGCGAATTCCTTCTCGACGCTTTAATCATGTCCTTGTAGAGCGTTCGAAACGTTTAAATTAGACGAGTGCGAAGAGCACCTTCAGCCAATTAAACCCGAGTTATTTATCTAACTCGTGTTCGACTAAATGGGTTTCCTTGGAAACATAATTGTACCGGTCGAATCGTTAAATTAATCGTATCTTTTTATTGCTATAATATTGTCACATCGCGAGCTAATTGTATAATATATATATATATAATTGTATATAGTATATAGTATATATATATTATTGTATATTGTATATATATATATATAAATTTTAGATTACTTTCTGAAAAAATTTCTATCGATATATGATATATTTCGTACGATACGAATAAATTTGAAATTCGTTTCAGATTTATAAAGAGAAGAAAAATAACCACGAACGCGATCGATTCATTTCCTTATCCAAGTCGTATAATATCAAGCATTAATAAATCCAAATTTATTAAACGATATCGTTCCAGAATCATCTAATTATACGAATTATAAAACTTCACCCCTCCCCATCCCGATCAGTACACGGTCAATTTGCAAGGCGTTAAAGACGTTTGGGAATAAGGGTGAAGATTCAGCAGACTGCCGAGAACGAAACCCCTCCTTAAGTCCTCCTCGTTATGAGAAAACGCGATAACGAGTGGTGGGACGGCGGTTGATCGATTTATTGGCGCTCAAAAGCCGCTTCCGGCTTTGCACGTCGCACGGCCCTATCCACCGCGAGAAGGTATTACCACCGTTTCTCCGCGAAAATTGCCCTCTCCTCCTCCCCTCTCCCTCTCCCTGCCACCATTTAATCGATCGCGTCTTAATCCCCGTAATTATCGAGCTGATGACGATGACGCGCCATCGGTCAATCTTCGCTCGATGGCTCGAGGGACCGGCCAGAGATGGATTGTTAAATCTTGGCGGGGATGCAGTTACGGGCGCGTAATTACCACTCAGGCTGGCTCGATCTACGAACACAACGCGTTTCTATGCTCGACAACCGCGCTGTGAAATCGATTAGTTTCTCCTTTCGAATTTTTGTCGACCTTATCTCTGTTTACGTCATGGTTTTTTGTTCGATGACCACGCCTCGGTCCTTCTCGTTTTGTTCATAAGAATTTCTTACATTTTCTCTGCTTAATACACTGTGAAATCGATTAGTTTCTTCTTTCGAATTTTTGTCGACGTTATCTCTGTTTACGTCACGGTTTTTTGTTCGATGGCCATCCATGCCTCGGTCCTCCTCGTTTCGTTTATAAGAATTTCTTACGTTTTCTTTATTTAACACACTGTGAAATTGATTAGTTTTCTCTTTCGAATTTTTGTCGAAGTTTACTACTGTTTACATCACAGTTTTTTTGTTCGATGACCGTGCCTCGTCCTTCTCGTTATGTTTATAAGAATTTCTTACGTTTTCTTTATTTAATACACTGTGAAATTGATTAGTTTTCTCTTTTGTCGAAGTTTACCACTGTTTACATCATGGTTTTTTGTTCGATGACCGTGCCTCGTCCTTCTCGTTATGTTTATAAGAATTTCTTACGTTTTCTTTATTTAA